CACCTGATTTACTCTGAAATGTCAAAACTTTTTGTTGCATTAATGTCCAAGTTTATCAAAACTAAGCTTCTGTATGTTAATAATAATGGCAGCAATTCCATAAAATCTATTAATGAGTTGCTGATGGTTGGTGTGATTGACTCAAAAAATTGTACACCACTAAAGTTAATTGATATTGGCACAAAAGCCTAATCTTATTTTTCAGAAGCTCTAGAAATCTCATGTGGCGAAAAGTTATTTTGGCAAAATTGTCTTTAGTCTTATCAAGCATTTACTAGTTATTTAAAATTAAAATTACCTTAAGAATCAACTATTTTAAAAAATGCAATCTTTCTTGATCCTTTAAAAAAGGGTAGTAACGAGTCTCTAGCAGCTGTCTCAAATCTCACTCTAGAAGTATGCAAATCACTGGAAGTAGTCTTATGTAAAGTTTTTCCATCTTGTTCATCAAAGGAAGAGGTTTGTGATATTGTACAAAGCGAATGGCGAATTTACCAAATGGAATTGCTTCCAGAGTGCTATTATAAATGTTCGGAAGAATTAGTTTCAATTGGGAGAAATCAAACTTCTTACTGGGAAAAAGCCTTTCAGCTTGCCGGTCTTCCTATAGTTTCAAAACTTTTATGTAGTTTTGATATTGATACACTAATCAATTCCTTTGAGACTAAAATTTTGAATGATAGTGGTTCACCTAAGTTTCCCAATATTACATCTCTTTTCTAAGTTGTTTCTTCACTTTCGCATGGAAATAGTGCCCCAGAGAATGGATTTTCAATTAACAAACACATTATTCAGTTACATGGTACTTCACTTGATCCAGAGACAATTGAGGCTTTGAGGTTTGTAAAAGATACTATATTATGCTTTGGATCCATACTCGATATTCCAATAACAAAGTCATTTATACAATTAGTTAAATTTGCTCACTCAAGTTACAAAGCTGACCTGGAAGCTAAACGCAGGTTGAAAGAGAAGGAAGAGAAGCATATAAAAACTAAGGAAACTGAGGAAAAACGGTCTATCAGTTGCTGATGATTTAGTTTTTGAAGGAAATAGTGATTTAAAGAAGTGTTTGCTTCAAAAAAACAGCACAAGAAATGAATTGCAGCGAGTCCAGTGTAAAATTGAAACAGGGATGAAAAGAAGACAGGAGCTTGCTGATGAACAAGGCGTTTTAAAAAAAAGGAGTAAAGAACTGTCAATTTAGTCAATTTAGAATTATATTGTTTATATTGCAACTCTAACTATTTTGCTTTTAAACTCTATTTTAACTTAGTTATATTATAACTCTAAAAGAATTATTATTTTATTTAGAATTTTATTTTTGAATAAAACAGTTTTTTCAGATAATTAACTTAAAAAAATCTATTAACATTTAATACTTTGTTTCTATTACGTCCTTTAATATATATCACAAATTGTAAAAATACAGTAGAATCCTTTTAAGTCAGACTTTAAAGGGAAATTGATATATAGTCTGACTTGTAAGTATCAACAAATGTATCAATATAACAAAATTAACAAAAATGATTACGTAACAAAAAAATCTGTGAAAATGTTTTGTTATGTCCGAGTTATCCAGGGTCAGAGTTAACAGGATTCTATTGTATATTTAACTTTGTTTAGTATTTTAGATAAGTTAAGACTTGCAGGTTTTACATGTAAGAGTTGTTGTTCTAAAGTTAAAGATTTTTTTGTTTAAATTATATTTTGTTTATTATCTACTTTATATAAACGTAAATAATTTCCAAGGGTATCAAAGAGTAAATAATATATTAATAATAATTGAATTTAAAGGGTTAATTCCCAAACTTAAATTTAAATAATTGAATACAAAAACTCATTCCTAACTTTCGATTGTTCTAAAATGTCCTAAATTTAACACTAATTTATCCTAAAAAGTCATAAAAAACTTGGAAAAATTGTCCCAAAATCATAAAATTTTACCCTATTTTAGGAGTGGGAGGCCTGGTATTATTCTTTATCTAGATCGCTATATGACAGACTGAGACAAGACTACCAGCTTCCAGGTATTTCATTTGTTCAAAAAAATTACATCAAAAGTTCTCTTGATGGTTTGAAAACATCAGTGAGATTTTTCAAAAGGCAAAACAAAGTTATGAAAAAAAAAATTATTTTATTAATAGACAAAGTCAACGTAAAGCCTTCTCTTACATATTGCCTGGGTCATATTTAGGAAAAGCTGTAAACAAACCTGATTCATTAGCATCAATCATTTTAAGGTTTATGTTGATTTCAATTTTCGGTGGTCCAAATATTTATGTCGTTTTTACTAGTAATCAAACTTAATGCTGACATTTTATTTGATCAGGCAAATCATTTGATTGATTGTATTCATAAATTTGATGGAGAGTTAATTGCTATCATTTGTGGTAACAATCAGCATCAACCAATCTTTTTACTCTGAGTTTACCTGTAGAGAACGGAAATTAATATATTTTTACTTTATGACTTTGTCCATTTAATAAAATCAATACAAAACAACTGGGTAACTTAGAAAACACTAACTCTAAACTTTGAAGATGAAGTTGAAATAAAATCAGCTTTGTGGTCTGATTTAAAACATTTATATCAAACTGAAAAAGTAAGTTTAGTTAAACTTTCAAAACTTTAGATGTATCAATAGTATATTTTGTGATGAAACATCAGCTGTGCTGAAGATATGTTCTAAAATAGATTATTCAGATGGTACCCCATATGATTTATTGAAACTATATTAAAGTTTTGGAAGATTGTAAATGTTAAAGGATCATATGCAGACTTATGTTATCGCGATGATGAGAGAGCTGTTATATCTTCAGAAAATGATGAAAGATTAACCTTTTTGAGAAAAATTGCTTGTATAGCGCAGAAAATGACTAGTACTCAAGGGCAAAGACAATGTCAGCTCACACGTGATACAGGGACAGAAATTTGGCATACATGTTCTGGAATGATTGCTCTTGTCAATTACCTTATTAACCTTAGATTTTGATACGTGGTACTTGGTAAATTTAAAACAGACCCTTGAGAAAAAATGTTTTAGAAGCTTCAACTAGGGTCTGGTGGGACTTATTTTATAAACACTTAGCAAGTTTTAGAAAAAGTCAAAATATTTAAAACCAAATTAATTTCGCAAGTGGTTATAAATATAGATGAAGTTGGAGAAATTGAATCAGGTCATGTGAAAAGTGTAAGTATTTATTAGATGGCGATTCATCAAGTGTTTTTCATAAATTACCTGGATTGGAAGAAAAGCCCTAGTTGACATTTCTGGGTATTTTACCAAAACTGAAACAGGTAAAGAAACAAAATTTTATAATGAAAAATATGGAAACTGTGTTAAAGAGATTAATCCTGGAGGTCTCAACATACCGATCAACAATGCCTGTTAATGAACCATGTTTTGTTATGACATCTTTTATCCATTTACTGATGGAGTCAAAAATCATTATGTAAAAGAATGAGGGGGGGGGGGGAGGGAGGGGCATGGAAATGAGTAAAGGGCAATAAAGGTTGGAGGTGGCACATTACCACTAGAAATGGTTTTTTGAGAGTTGCACTTATGATAAATATATTTTATCAATGCTTTTATGTGCTTTTTATTATAACTATTAAGTACATCTAAAACACTAAACAATCTAAAATTTGAATTTACTTGGTTAACAATTATCGTTAAAAAAAATAATTTAAAAAGATATATTTACACAATATCTATTATTGAAAGCAAGCTTTAAGAAAAAAACTTACTTTCCTACTAGTTTATACAAATTTTTTTTTGCGAGATCATCATAAGGACTAGTGACATTAATAAGGTGTTGTATAGACGTCATACGGATGTCTGTGGCCTCTGGGTTGAAACAAAATGATTGTCAATGCTCTCAGCAAGCTGACATTCAATTAAAATTAATGTTAATGCAAAAAGACATTACTTTGTCATTGTAAATCACAGATTATTTTTGATCTTTAGTTTACTGAAACTTTTCACATCATAAACTTATGTAAAAGGAAGAATGAATTTGTTTTTGTAGAGTATAGACAAGTTAGGAAAACATGATGTCATCTATTTCTCTATTAAGAATAAATGTATACCGTTCATTTATAGTTCAGTCGTCACTGCTGGAGATATTGATGCATACACATATTTGAAAGAGGCCCGGAGCGAGTAGATTTTAAGTGGGGAGGGGATGCCATACGGGTTTTTGGCAAAAACATTTTTAACTTATAAAAACAATACTAAGTTGCTCCACAATGTTGAAATCAGTTAATTTAAAACTTTTTTTTCCCCTCCTTTTCACAGTTGTTTTAATGCATCAAGTCACAGTTGTTTTGATACACAAAACTATGTTCAAAATCCTTTGAATGTCTACATTATGATTACAAGAGATATGTTATTATAACAAAACGTTTCTGTTTCGAATTTTTGCCACAAATGCAAGAAAATGTGTAAATAGTTTGTTGTTACCTAGTTTTCTATTTCCATTTAAATGAATGCAGAATTTTCTAATAAAAAATTTATATTTTGGGGGGCGCCAATTGACTGACTTAGGGAGCGGGGGGGGGCAGCTCTTAAGTTTTAATGGTCTAAGACCACTACTATAGTAGTGGTCTTAGACCATTAAAACTGAAGAGCTGCCCCCCCTGCTCCCTAAGTCAATTGGCGCCCCCCAAAATATAAATTTTTAGTTAAATTAGAAAGAAAGATCGCCGCGGCTAATTATAATAATAAATCTTCGACTAACGTCTACGTCTTCAACGGTAAATTAAAAAATGTACTACGGTGTTTAGAGTTCGGCACTCCAAAATACGGATAAATAATATCCGTGATTGCAATAATGGGTTATCTCTTAAAATAAAATCTCTTTATAGTAAAGAGTGATTTTCTAAATAAAATATATTTTTATATAAGATGATATATTTTTTAATAGGCTTGAAACATTTAAAAAAATATTAAATAACATAAGAAACAAAATATTTAATGAAATATTTAATATTCAAAGCTTTTTTTTACATAGAGTTATTTGTAAATATAATTTTAAAATTAACGCAAACTCAATAAAAAAATGATCTTTCATTCAAATCATTGGATATTACTTACTTGTCTCTACTGCTTGTTTAAACTAAATATTGCATTGATTGAACCGGGTTTTCAGAAATATACAGTAGAACTAGAGAAAAATGAAAATAAAAAGGTAATTTATTAATTATTTTATACAATTTAGTTTATTTTATTACCATTTATAAGAGTCTAATACCTTAAAAAACATAACAAAAATAAAAAAAATCATATTGAACATCAAATTACCTATTATCTTATTTAACCCATATTTCAATTGATAATTAGGATGTCTTATTCAAATTTATAGAATTTTATAGATATTAGATTAGGTAAAATGTTATTAAAATAGTTGCTTTTAAATTTAATTTTTATTTGTAAAGATGTATGTATAGTAGTACTACACAATAACATTGCTAAGTTACTTAAGATTAGTAGAATTACTATTTGTAAATATCCATGAAATTAATTTTCAGAATATATAAGATTTCAGAATATATATGATTATTAAGTCTTTTTTTTAAAAAAATAGTGAATTATCTGGTTTTGCAAGCTCACTCCTCAGATATTCTTTCTATGCCCTGAAATATGGGATAAGTCAAGTTATCTTTGCGATCTTTTAAAAAAGCCATATGATGTGACAGTTAAACTTCAAGGAATTGACATCACTCCAGGAGAGTTCCTAAAGGAATTGAATTGAAATCTGACCTAGAGAAAAATTGTAGCTTATGTTGCTAGATGTAGAATAATATTAGAAGAAAACCAGATAATACAAGGAAAACAAGGCTTAAAAATAATAGCAGAAAAAAATAAAAAAAAGTGATGCCAAGAGTATAATAGAAAGAAAAAATAATTCTGTGCCATATACATATATAATACAGTACTTCTTTCAGTTTTAAGTGAATCTAATTCCGATGGAGAAGAGGATGAGTTTGAAAAGGAGCTTGATAAAACAGAAAAAAAAAGAAGTGTGATCAAAATTAATTTTGACAAAAATACTTTTAAAACAAATTTTTTGGATGACTGGAGGGTAATGGAAGAAATAGGATGTTAAAAAGTGAATTCAGCTATTGAGGGAATTGAAAAATACCCAAAAAGAATACAAGAAGTATGTAGAGAGTCACTTGTATACCTATCTAACAAGCAAGTGTAGAGAGGCTATTTTCTACTCTTAAGTTTGTATTGAGTAATCTGTGTTCTTCACTCAAACCTGATATTTTAGATTTTATTTTTAAAGATGAATCAAGATTTTGATTACTAAAAAATTAATAGTATTCAAGTTACTTTCATAAAACATTAAAATAAATTTTTGATTTTTTTTTTCGGAGCTGCTCCAGAGCTGGAGCCAAAAATTCTAATGGAACTGAAGCCTGGAGCTGGAACCAATTTTTATTGGTTTCAGCTGGTATTTGTATTGGTACTGGTAAAATTGGTATGAAAGACGAGAAAAATTAAAATGATAAATTTTGCGGTATCATAAAATATAAATATTTGTAGCAAAAAAATCTAGACCCAAGATTCTTTCTTTTTTTTTTTTTTTAAGTCTTTTTAAAATCACAATTGCTTATGGAAAATTTGAATAAGATTTTAAATAAATTTGTTTTTTAGGTGAAATGAACATCATAGTTTAATAATATAATCTGTTCTGATTTTTTATTGGCTAATTTCTATACTTATAAGCTCGTTCTTGACATATATTAAAACTTTCTAGATGTATATCAAAGCTGTTTTTAAGTCACTTTTAAGTAAGTCTCAAGTCATTGAGATCAATTCTCAATTCTCAATTCAAAATCAATGTCTCAAGTCACTCAGTAATATGTCATCTTATATTATAACCAAAGATTCTAATGCAGGCGGCGGCTACATTCAAGCAGTCAAATTGTGATTATAAAATATAGCAAGGGCATGGTATTAACTATAAATTTATATTTTATTATATTAAAGCAATACTTCAAAGCTGTAAAAGTAAAATAAACCTTCTGTACATTAGAAGTTATAATATACAAGGCAGTTGCATTAAACTACACAAGCTGTTTACTGAAATTAACATTCTTTTATTCATTTTAAGTAAAGATTACTAATGCTGATTTTCAGAAACATAGTTATAGTAATTTATAGGTATTACTTTAAAAAAAAAAAATTATATATATATAATACTTTTTTTATTGATTAAGTTAGCTGTTTTTCTTGTGTAATGTTTGTTATATGAATTTGTTGTTACTATTATATTTTAGTGGTATTATAGCGAGTAAGGTGTACAATCTTATAATATTGCAAAACCTCTAGAGTGCATTGCTAACTAATATTAGATACAGACTTTGAATTATGAATAGAAAGGGCATCAGGAAACTAGGCTGGTTTTTATCAACTTCTGAACAATGCTCAGTTAGCCAGCTGTTATAAAAACTCATAAAATAATGGTTTTAAAGTCATTTTTGCTTTTGATTATTTAGTTAGGTTTCCCATGGACCAAGAAATCACTTTTTGTTAATCTATTAGTTGTTTTTTAAGCCTAAGTAAAACAAAATAAAAAACTAAAAACTACACCTTTGACCAATTAAAAAGTTCTTGATCATTAATTCTAACAAAAAATTATTACCCTAAATAATAGATAAATATTAGAGTTATTTTTTTTTTTGTATTATCTTTTTTTATTCATCCCATAATGGCAACAATTTAATAAACTTTTGGTTTTGGTTTTAATTTGTCCCTATAGCTTAATTTTATTTAGAAAAAGGAATTCTGTACACAGCTGTCTCAGGTTAAGGCAGCTGGAAATTAGATATGTAGGAAGAAGAGGGGTGTAAACAAAGGATAGCAATTGCAACCCTCGGAATAAGTGTTGGCATTCGGCAATGCCTAAAAGTGTTTGAGGTCGGCAAAAAATTGCCAGTTAAACATGTTAAGAAAAATAAAAAAATACAAAACCTTCCTGAAAAATAAACTAGGTCTGGTTGTAGATGTTCCCAGAATTTTAGTTGATTTTTTGAAAAAAGATTTTATGTTTTTAAATTTATTAGTAGCTTATTTGTAAATCTTTTTAAACTGCAGACATTGCTATTATTGCAGGGGCACTAGGCTTAGCAGATTAGGTGTTGAATAGAAGCTGTAATATTTTCTGTGTTTGTTTTCTAGACGAACACAGAAAATATTATAGCTTAGAGAAAACAAAAATTAAAGAGAAAATCAATCCAATTTTTTAAGAACATAATCTTATTGCTGTTGATTCTGATCTGGCTGAACCCTCTTTATTACTTAGTCAATATTGTTGTTATTGATGACTTTAATGCTCTCTTAACAGCTTGGCTGTAGTACCACTGACTTTTTTTCTTACTCAGATAGTTAACTTTGTGACTCATCTTCCAGATTACCCTAATCACTTACCTTTCTTGGTCTCCTATAATCTGTTCAGATTATGTTATGATCTCACTTTTTAGATCATGCTGTAATCTCACAAAAATTTTTATCTTGCTGTTTTTCTACATCAGAATTTCTTTAAAATTATTACTACTTCCTTAACGCTGATTGGAATTTATTTCATGGTTTTCTCCATGATGCTAAAAATAGGTACTGTCTAATGCTAAGCTCTTTGATTACTAAATCTCTTAATTTATCTGAGGTTAGGTTTTAGAGGCTTTTGGACTAAAATTTTTTAGGTATCGTAATGTTATATGAAAAATAGTAATACAATTTTTTTATTTAATAGAAACAAGAAAATTAATAAGAAAAAAAGTTTTTTAATAAAAGTAAGATAATTTTATTTTTTTATTTTAGAATGTTTCCTTCAGTAAATCCATGTTTAAGGACACAGAAATTTCATTCAGAAGTATGTGCCAATAGAACTTTTACATAACTTATATTAATTTTAATTTATGAGGTTATTACTTTTTAAAACTGTTTTAATTTATTTTAGTATCTTGTAAAGGAAAAATAAACAGTAACTTTACTCTTGGAATAGCGTTGTTCGTGAGTCAATGTCATTTTAACAAATCAGATGTAAGTAATGTTAAGTAATGAATAAATGAATTATTGCCACATGTTTGTGAAGTTTTCAGTTTGTTTTTTAGTTTACATTACTATGTTTACATTTTAAAGTATTAACAAATTTTATTTTGTTAAGTTAATTTTTTTTATGTGTTATGCATTGTAGTGTGAGTATAATTTTAAGTAAAGATGTGCAGAAGTGCACTTCTATTGTGTGTGTTACATTGTTAAAGTGCTTGTTTTTTTTGTAAGAGATTTGGAATTGAAGCCCCTATTATTTCCAGTTTGAAATTCATTTTGTAGTATTTACCTATAACCAATTTTAAAAACGTTTTTTTGTAGATGTATTCAATACAAATAGAATTTAAATGTATTCATTTGTATGTTTTGAGACTATTAGACTGTCTCATCATTAAACTTTTTTTCAAAAATACATTAAAATATTGGATATGAAGTTGTTTTTAATGCAGGTTTCAGTTTACAAAATAAATTGATCTGCGAAAATAAATCTAGCTCATCAACCTTTAGCCAACCAGGTGTCTATAAATAAACCTGCAGTTTTAAAAGGCTTATGTTTTATCATAGTCATAAAATAGATAGTCTGGCCAGTTTAGGAGTGCTATTGTTTATCTTATTGTTAGCATTTTTTTAGAATCTATCCTACCAATAAGTGCACACTTTTTGTTAACAAAGACGCTTTAAGAAGAATATTTACAAGAAGATTGTAAATTTATCCTCGATTTTTGCAAATGCCTCGTCTTAATTGTTACATATTTAACTCGGGAACTTTTCAAAGAAGTATAAATGTCTTTCTATTTGAGATATCTTCTTTCAATGATGTTTTTAACTAAGAATTGAGAAGAAAAGTTTTACAAATTATAATTTAAGATATATTTTTAAATATAATATTATTATAATATTATTATATTATATAGTAATATATTATTATATTAACATAATGCATTATTGTATTATTATAACATTCAAGAGTTTTTTCCGGAAATTTCTGGAATTCCGGAAATTCACTTAAAACACCTTTAATTTTTCCAGTAATTTCCGGATGTTTTTTGTTAAAAAGTTAATATATTTTTACATAAAATTTTACACACGACAACTTTTGCATTTAAACAAATATGTTTTCTATAATTAAAATTTTCACGAGATAAATTTTCGTAACAATTTTTTTTCTTTTTTTTGTTTTTTTTTGTTTGCTTTTTAATTCATTCAAACTTTTTCGAATAATAGAAATTCCTTTTTGTAAAAAGTTAAATAATCTAAATTCCGTTTTAAAATAATAGAAATTCCGCTTTTCAGTTAAATGTGATCAATTTTTAATAAAATAATTTTCTGGGATTTTCCGGGATTATCAAAGAAAAAAAATTTCCGGGATTTCCATAAAGTCAAATACTCATCTATGTTATAATTTATTTTTGTTATAAATAAAGATATGCGATATAGTAATTTACATATTAATATGTAAAACTACTATAACTACTAGTTAAATAAAAGCTATAAACTACTAGTTAAATAAAAGCCTAAAGTTTCAAATTAAAAAAAAATTGTTGTTTGTTAGTGAAAGGCTAGCATGTTAATTGTAATAAAAAAAATTAAACTTTTTTTTGGATGTCAATCTCACTACCTTCAATAAATCTTCCAGTTAACAGCTTTTCCTTGCCAAATCCTTCTTTATGCTGGATATAGTAGTTTCTCATATTCCTAAAACTCAACTCAAAGAAATCGACTTTTTCTACTGAAGCAGAGAAATGCTAATTTAAATATTTACATTTTAAAAAGATCAATGTTTAATACATTTGTGTCTGACCTTTCATTTCAAAAAAAAAATCTGAAACCCAAAAATTTAACTTAGGCTCATATTTTAGGTTTTTAGATAAAAAAAAACTTGATTATTACATAAAATGTACTAACAAGCCCTGTTATTTGCTTACACAGCAAATAACAGGGCTTGTATTCATGCTCTGCTCCAGGAGTTATTTTCTTGCAGTAAATATATACTATACTACTATATATATTTATTTTGCAAGTATTATTTGGTGTAAAATGAGACAAAAAAATTTATCTTCAAAACACTATAACTGTTATATATGTGTGTGTGTATATATGGTATATGTGTATGTGTGTATATATATATATATATATATATATATATATATATATATATATATATATATATATATATATATATATATATATATATATATATGTGTATATATATATATATATATATATATATATATACATATATATATATATATCTTATACTGCTGATTTAGGTGGGAGGTGAGATGTCATATGTAGATAGCTTGCTGCCGAGGGCTTCAGTACATACATTGACTATTGACTGACAAATAGCCTGACTCGCAGTGGAGTGCTGCTACATAGCCTAAGGGTTTTGGCATAGGTCAGCAACCTTTTCATTATTCTTCATTTTCCCTCTTCATTTTCTAAAAAAATTATATCGATTTAGATGAGCAAAAAAAAGTGAGCAAGTGCGCATGTAATGCTATAGTAGATATATATATATATATATATATATATATATATATATATATATATATATATATATATATATATATAATATATATATATATATATGTGTGTATATGTATATTAAACTACAAAACCACAAATTAAGACAATGTTTTTAAAAATATTCAAAATGTTTTTAAAAACATTTTAATTTTTATAAACATTTTGAATGTTTTTATTTTATTTTTTAAAAATAAAAGCATTTTAAATATTTTTATTTTTATTTTTAACTGTAAAACATGCGGAGCGTTGCTACGTTGACTATCTTATAGTTTGGCCAGGCAGTCTATCAAATAATTTAAAAAAAAAAAAAAGTTTTTTCAGTCTTTAAAATTAAAAAAAACCTAAAACTGACATTTTGTGGTAAAAACTTAAAGCCAACCATGCAACAGTGTATATATATTATTATTATTTATTTATTTATTTGTATTTAAAAAATGTACAAAATACAAAAAGGGTGAGACAGGTAATTACTAAATTACTCTTATGTAGCACTAAAAAAAACAAGTAAGAAAATACAATATGAGTTTATGTGAAAAAACCAAGTTAGTAGATAGCGTGACAATTTAAATCATGCTTTTTTAAATTCGGTTTGAATGCTGACAGTGAGGGCAAGTTCACTATGTGGCCAGGAAGTGAGTTCCATACTTTAATGATTCTTCTAGTAAAAAAATCTTCTAGTATCATTAATGTATTTATTATGTGGAGTAAACTTTTGCGAACGACTTCTAGTAAAACATTTTGAATTGGAAGTAAGGAGTTTAAGGAGTAAAAAAAGTCGAAAAGGAGTAAAAAAATCTGAAAATGGTAAATCAGCAAGATTTTGTACAATTTTATAAGTCATATAAAGATCAAATTTAACTCTGCGATATTTAAGAGATTCTAGTTGGAAAACAAAAAGTCTTGATAAGTAATTAGTTTATGTAATATGACACCTTTTGCAGACAATTCTGGTAAAATATTTTTGAACTTTTTCTATGCAAATTATATCTTTTAAAAGATGAGGGCTCCAAACTGGGGTGCAAGGTTTTAATACAGGCCACACATAAACCTTTTAAGCTTTTAACAAAAGTTGAAAATTGTTAGAGATGAAGGATTTTAAAAGTAAGTAAATGCAAGACTATGCTATGCTTGAAATACAAGAGCAGTGATTAGAGAACTTCGTATCAAAGGACATGGGGATTCCAATATCCTGAATTGAATAAACAGTTTCAATATTGATAACGGAGTTTAATGAATAAGGATGAGTAGGTATATTATATCTTCTTAAGCATAAATGAAAGCATTTGTTGGTTGCTACTTTTAGTTACCAATCATTGGACCATGTCAAGATTTTTTTAAAGTGTTTACAAGATCAATGTTGTTGTAATCATTTATCGATTCATACAACTTAATATCAACTGCAAACAGCTTAATGCCACAATCTCCATCAGTGCAATAAACTGCACTGTCATTAACAAATATTAAGAACAATATAAGTCCAGTACAGTTCCTTGTGGTATTCCACTCTTAACTGGAGTGTTTTCAGAATATGAGGTACCAACACACACATGCGATTAGTTACAATTTTTAATCCAATTAAATAGTTCGTACTTAATTCCATAGTATTGCCATTTGAACATTAGTTTAGGATGAGTTACCGAGTCAAAAGCTTTTTCAAAATCAATATAGATGATGTCAACTATTTTTTTTTAATTTAATACAGTGGTCCATTTGTTTAAAGTTGCCAGCATTTGTGAACATGTGAATCTTCGATTTATATAACCGAATTGATGTTGAGAAAAAGAGTTATTTTCTTAAATATTGGACAAATTATTGCTGATTTCCAAATTTTAGGTATAGTATTAGTGGTCATTGACATTTCGAACAAAATAGAAAGAGGAATGGCAATGGTAGTTGCAATTGATTTTAAAAATATTGGAGGGTAACTATCCGGAGCTTTAGAAAATTTTGCTGGGAATTTTTGTAGAAATGAAACGACAGAATCATATGGAAATAATATGTTACTCAAAGAGTTTTGATGGGATACAAAATCTAATGGAGGACTAACACCGTTGTCAGTGATGAAGTCGGAGGCAAAAAATCTTTCAAAATATGTTTTTTTTTAAAATCATCTAAACAAAGAGAACCATCAGAACTTGCAAGTGGTGTAACATATAGTGACGCTTAGATTTTGAATTGATAAAAAAGTAAAATTTGTTGATATTTTCATTATTAACAATATCTTTCTCTGTATTAATAGCATTTTTTATTATTTCGGAATTGTATAGATTTGAGCAATTCTTGTATTTGATAAAAGTATTTAAATTAAAATTTCTTTTGTATTTTCGGTATTAAATACGTTTTTGTGGAGTGCTGGTACGTGTGACTAAATGCTTGAATTCAAAATGTTACATATAGCATGCCAGAATGATTCAACATTATGATGTTGCTCTGCTAATTTGTACCAGTTTACATTAAATTTTTGTTGATATCTTTATAGTTGGTCTTATGAAACTTATATGAAATTGGAAATGATGGTTTTTTTTATTGTTAATTAAGGTTCCCAAATTGCAATTAAAGAGAATGGTACAATGGTTGCAGGTACTGGTGAAAGGGGCTGTAGTTACTACGTTGTATACATTCATTTTATCATGGGTTAATATAAGATCCAAAATACTATTTAATTGGGTACTGTTTGATACCAGCTAGGTTAGGGCGTTCACCTTACAAGTTTCTATGAACAAACCGTGACAAGAATCACCTAGGCTAATAGGTATTGATCAATCAATGAGTGGTAGATTAAAATTGCCTGATACTAAACAAGTATGATTACAAGATGATGAAATTTTACATAGCATCTTACATAAGGTTTTGGTTTTCAAAAAATATGAGGCTGCACATAGGGGGTGGTAAATGTATAAAATGCGTAACCTTTCGAGACTAGAGGAGACACGTTTACACATGTATTTTCAGTATCTACAAGTTCTTCAGAAACATCAAAATTTATTTGTACAGAATGAATGTTACTTTGCACTAATATGAGTGAGCCACTACCATTGCCATTACAATCACGTCAAAATATTTGGTAATCATTTCCATTTAACAGTAGCGAGTTTGGAGTTTTATTGTTAAGCCAGGTTTCCAAAATGAGAATAACATCGAGATTGCCGTTTCGGAGAAGATTATGTAAATGATGAAGTTTATTGTTAAGTAATCTTGCTTTGAAGTATGCACAATTAAAGATTTTATTTAGTCATTCGTTTACATTTTCTTTCTTAGAATTGTGTTTCAAATTTTTTATAATGATTTGTATAGGTGGGATGGAACGCTTTATTGCAACATTTTGGATTGATAAATGTGTTGTTGGAGGTGTTGCTAGTTGGTTTTTGATTGACATGGTGGCTAATGATGTCTAGTTATTTCTTTTATTGTGTTACCTCGAATAATATTGATTGTTGTAGCGGTTGGACTAAGAGTGGCATTATGTTTTTTGCATTCGGTTCTGAGGAGGTACGTCAGGTTTTGTTCAATTAAAGTCATATCAGGGTTGATGAATAAGGAACTGTGATCTACTCTGTTGTTGGTTACGCCAAAAAAGTTGGAGGCTTGTTTAAGTACTCTGTTTCTAGCTGATTCATTCCTAATGATTACTACTATTGGAATGGGTAGTTCAGAGGTCCTTACATTGGGTTTGAGGCGATCGGGGACAGACAAGTCTTTAACTGTAAAAATGATTTACAGTTAAAGACTTGTCTGTCCCCGATAATGAAAATATTTTTTCTACTTCATTTATGTCCTGAACTTTTGCAATTGATGGATCGATACTAGAACATTTTGGGGCACCACATATAATTATGTTCTTAGCTCTGTTTTCTCATTGCTTCGATTCGAGGGCTATTGTGTTGATAATATTCATTTGTTCTTGGTCTTTTCTAGCAGTGGTGTTTCCAGCTATGGTAGGTGTTGGAGTTGTTTTGAGAGAGTGAAGTTCTAGATTTAGTTTAGTAATCCATTCTTCAGCAATTTTGAGTCTATTAATGAGTGTGCGTATAATTGCATCGTACTTATTAAACAATTCTATACAAAGATTTTCAGTTGCTTTGGTCATTTCAAAATTTTATATGGGAAAAAATTGAATTTTATAGGATAATTACTTTTTAGGCTGTTTTGATTTAGGAAATGATTATTTAATGTTTTTTAATGTTTTTTAGTAAAATATTTTATTGTTATAACCAATAGCAATCATTAGTGAAAAATATATATATTTATATACTCAATATAAATTTATATACTCAATATTTATTATAATCAATTAATCATTATCCCTATCGTAACAGAAAGCACAAAATCCAATTTTTGTTTTGCCGACCTGACGCCAGCTAAGATCGGCACGCTTGTTCCAACCTAAAATCCTTCGAATTTCGTTGACTATATATATATATATATATATATATATATATATATATATATATATATATATATATATATATATATATATATATATATATATATATATATATATATATATATATGTATATATATATGTATATATATATGTATATATATATATATATATATATATATATATATATATATATATATATATATATATATATATTTGTGAGGTTAAAAAGTGACCTATGAGGTTGAAAATGTGTGAAGGATAAGTGTTGCAAAAAAGTCTTAATATTTTAAAATTTTATATATAAAATTAGTAAAATTATTAAACTACTTAAGTAGTTGAACCAATTACTTTAATCATTACATTATATGATATTATTTAAAGTAAAAAGTTACACAACTTTATTTGGTTTTCACTTTATTTATCTTTCAATCATACTGCAATTCAGTTCAAAGGCTAAAATATGTTTTTAATAAATTTTTTGGCTATCAAAATAACCTTTATTAAATGTCTAATATTTATTTGGTGGAGTTTTCTCGATTTATTTTCTGAACTTCCAATTAAGCCAACTTTTTGAATAATATGTTTTTCAAAAGTACTAAATACGTATCCACCAAACTATTCAACTATATTTTTTTTGCTTTAATTTTTCTAAATATGATATGCAAGGATGTATCCTTGAAAAAAAATTATTTCTGACCTTCAACTTAATAAAATTTTGGATAAAAAAACTTCAGCATCACTACAAATAGCTATTATAACTTCAATTTATTAACTTGAATGGTAAATTTGTATCATCTTCTAAGAATCTTCCATATATCAGAGATGTGCTTTGAAAGCTTATCTCTAATATATGGAAGGCAGAAAAGATCATTTATAACAGTAAGAATGTTTTTTTAAACAAAATTTATGAACGCATTTGCTTAACCTCAGTTTATGTATTTATGTCCTGGGTTAAAGAGGCACTATTTGAATGCTGCTTTGTTATGTGGCATTTAAATTTATGCTCCGACTCACATTTTATCATACACTGGAAGAAGTTAATTTGATTGAAGCATTTTTACTCCTAATTCAATAATAAAAGAACTACCATTATTAATAAACTTATGTTTTCAAAAAAAAAATGTCTGATATGAAATATTTATTGAACTGTTCATCTGTTAATTTCATCATTTTTTAGATTTTTGCACACTTATTGGTAGTCTAGGCAACTAAACTTTTTTCAACATAAGTTCAAAAAACATTAATTGTTTAAAAACAATAGAATCTCGTGAAAATGGCCTAACTGGCCAGACTATCTGTTATTATGACTATGGTTTTATGAGGATGCAAGTTTAAAAATTATCTAATGACATGAAATGGAATAATTCTGGTATATTAAATTATAAATAAAATTGTAAGGGAAATATTACCTTGACTGATGGAAATATAATAGCACGATGTGTTAATAAAAAAACTTTCCAAAAAATAGGGCTAAATTAACTGATGAGTTTGGATTTAGGTGACAATCAATATAAATACAACCTTTTTAAAGCTAATAATGCTTTTTATTGAGTTGCAATGCAGAGGGCTGTACATTGTTCTGTTTCTAACAGTTTTAGAGAATATGTCTTTATAAAATCGGAATAAATACTTTACACTTAAAAACTATCTGTATTGAATTGTATTAAAGATTGAAGCCCCATAAAAAATTAATGTCAGTACATTTATATTAATTTTTTTTTTATTTTAGTATTTTTTTAAAGGAAAACTATAATGAAATGTCAATTTTTTCCATTTAATGAAAATGTTATAGTATTTTAGTATTTTTTTTTTAAGGAAAACTATAATGAAATGTCAATATTACTTCCATGTCATGAAAATGTTATAGTGAATAAAGATTTTTTATCACAAGTTGTTTTTGACAATCAGGTAAATATTTAAAGTTTTAATTTAATTTTAGTTCTTTTAATTTTTTTTCTAAGTTATATTGTCAAACAATACAAAAATCTCTCCTTCAGTGATAAAGCCATAACACTTTAAAACATGATCACTTTAAGGGTTGAAGTTTTACTTGAATGTTACTTGAATGATTAAGGTTCATTCAAGTAACTTGTAAAACTTTAAAGATCACACATAAGTGACCGATAGAGCGTCTAGTTACATAGACCTAGGAGATGTGGTAATGAAAACAGATTCCAACCTGTTTTCATTACCATTTTTTTCTAAAAAAAAATTGTTAAATAAAAAATAAAAATTGTAATATTAAATTAAATATAAAAATAAAAATTGTAAATTGTAAAATAAAAATAAAAATTAAAATGAGTAGTAAAGTAGAAAAAGAAAGTTTAAATGCTCTGGAGACAGGGGAGAAACAACTAACACTCTAGTCACTTGGTGTATAGATCATATGCAACAAAGAACAAGCTTTTGATTTACTGATGAGGTTCTGATTTTGAAAACAGAATTTGTGCACTGAATTTTTTTGTGCTCAGTTATTTTGGGTAAAATTTGTGCTCAGTCTGTTTGTTTAAAATTCTTGACAAATCCACCTGTTTTTTTCAATTTAGACTTCATAATAGCCCAGTGTTACTCAATTGGACAAAGTTATGAATAACTAGAAGCCTTGTTTTAAAGCGTTAAGCTGTTGGTAATTTACTTACGCATAAAATAATTTTACATATGCCTAGAGCAATTTCCATTAAGCAACTTTTTATCATTTTTTAACTTTTAAATAGCAATAAAATTAAAGAAGTAATTAACTTTTACTTTAACTTTTGAATGACGATTTTGTAAAAAAGTTGTTACAAAAGTTTGAATAACAGTTATGTTAGATATAACACAGTGGGCCAGAATCCCATATTTTTGGAAAAAAGTCATAACTTTTTTTCCTTTCATCCATAGGCCTCAAAATTTAGTATATAAATTAATTGGATGATTATAATTTAAATGAGCATTTTTTTTATGTGTGGTTGCCAAGGCAACCCCATTTGCATAGCAACATATATTTATGCTTAGTTCCTAAGGGTTATTTTTAGCCAAATATTTCTAAACTTGGTATGAAAATTAATTTGATGATTCTAATAGGATTGAGCATAACTAATTGTTTTAATTTACAGTCACACTTTCATATAGGTGCAGACATTTTCAAAATTATAAAGATACAAAAGAAAAATTTATAAACTAATATCATCTGTGGATGACCTCATTAAGTTAATAACTCCAGCTGGTAAGTTTTTTGTTTTGGTGTGACTTCCTGCTGTCTTTCTCAGAGATGCAATAAATGGATCAGATGTACACAGAAGTTGGTTTAGCAAATCTTGGTTAGTTTTCACACGAGATGGTTTTCTTGCAAAATGTTCACAATAGTTATGAAAGTCTTTATTGCATGCTTCTTGAGCTTCTTCAGAATACATACCAATGGGTAATGCTAAACTTCTAATAATTTCAGAACCATGGATTAAAATTTTGTGAAGAGATTGTGGCATATAGTACCAAGGATAATGATAGACAATAAGCCGAGCAGTTTTTAAACAGAAAGCCTTAAATTTATTAGTGTCAATATCTAAACCACATGAAATTGTTGCCATAATATGCAAATTTAGAATCGGTTTAACATCAATATTTAAAATTTCTGCAAACTTTTTCGCATTTTGAAATGCTCTTCGAGCCGTATTTACATCATTTGATGTTCCACCACCACCAGATTTCGGAACATCAACTATCAAGCCCATTTCATCTTTAAATCTATTTTGAATTTGTTGTTTTAGAGCCTCTACTTTAGATTTATCTTCTGCTTTAATAAATAAATATATATTTATCTTATCTATAAAATAAATAAATATTTATCTTTTTCAAAGTTATTTTATATCCAATATGTAATAAACATTCAAAAAAATGTATCCAAGCATGTAAGGATGATAAGCTAAATGAATAACTGCCTGCCATACCCTTTTTAAAAACCATTTTTTCAATATCATTCATTGCTTTGGGACTTGCCCCATATATAGTACAGCATTGACTTGAATTTGTAACATCTGAAAGAGCAGTATGAACTTTTCGATTAATCATAGTAATTTGTATTATATGATGTATTTTGATTTTTTTATTATTTATATCAACTTCAGTATCTTGCAAGTTTAAAATCTCAACCCTAATGAGATCCTCTTCTGATTTAGAAACTGCTGCCATTTCTTTAAAACAAAAGAAAGCAAAATTGTTTATAGTTAATGACAAATTTTTTTTTGTATACAAAGTTATTAAACGAAATGTAAAAATAAATAAGTATATATATATATATATATATATATATATATATATATATATATATATATATATATATATATATTTATGTATTAAATTAATAATAAAATAAATACAATTAGATTTGAAACATAACTCAGAGTTTCACGCTTTATGCGATCATCAGACGTTACAAACAACCGTAACAACAACAAAAATTATATACAAAAATACAATACAGTGTTAGCTTATAACTATATATATATCAATAACTTTCCACGATAGGGCGGAACCATTTAAACCTGGAGGAAAGTTATGTAACCTTTGCTTAACCGAAAAATACCATATCATTACGTCATCTTTGAAACTACTGAATAAACGAAATGAACTAATATCAAAATGTCGCCACGAAAACAAATTTGTTATTTGCAACTTTAACGTCATCTAAGCTAACACTGTATTGTATTTTTGTATATAATTTTTGTTGTTGTTACGGTTGTTTGTAACATCTGATGATCGCATAAAGCGTGAAACTCTGAGTTATGTTTCAAATCTAATTGTATTTATTTTATTATTAATTTAATACATATTTGCTCTACTTTTGTATTGAGCACTGTCTACTGAGAAATTACTTTTATTATTGATATATATATATATATATATATATATATATATATATATATATATATATATATATATATATATATATATATATATATATATATATATATACAGTGGTGTACACTGGACTTTTAGATGTTTGAGTTTTGACACTTACAGGTATTGTGCAAACTCCAAACTTTTGTATGTTCATGCTTATGTCAAATGAGAATGTTTTGCAAAGAGTTGCGGCAATAAGAGCTTGGGGACAAAAAAACCCCAATTTTTGGGCCCACCAGGCCCTTAATGTGGAAGCAACAAGTTCATAAAATAATTTTTTTAGTATTTTTATCTAAGTTTATATTCATCAACAAATTTCAAATTTCATCCAATAATTTCTTATTTTTCGAAAATTATGACCATATAAAGTTTTAACCCCCCTCAATTTGAATTTTTTTAATCAGCTGGTTACTTTCTGGCGTCCTTCTGGCAGCTGCACAAAAATTTGAATGTACACCTGTGTGTATGTGATATAGTGCTTTTAAATAAGAAAAAAGGATAAATGTAAAGCTCCTCAGGCTTAGATTTTTCCCCATTTTTGACCTTTAGCACTTTGTACAGATTTTAAAATCTTACTTTTGTACCCTTCAAGACAAATAATCTTATATTCAAAAGTTTGATTGCCACAATATTAAACCTGATGGTCTAGTCCATAGTGATCTTTCAATGATTTAAAAAAAAAATTACAAAAATGTGCAGAACAGGCTTCAGATTGTGCAACAATCTGAATTGTTAAGATGATGCTTCTCATGAATAAAATTTTCTTTAAATTGTTTATAACAGATTACTTATAATTTGGTGACAGTCCAATAATTTCTTTTTACAAATCTAATCCATAACTTTCTTGAATTATTATCTTTGGAAGACCAAAATTTTTCTAATTTAAAAAAGAAATAACAATTATTAATAAATAGATTACTGAAAAATGTACTGGTTCAGCAAATACAAATGGCCCAGGAAGACCAGATGTAATTATCATGTGGGTTTTGAATTTATTTTTTTTTTTCACATTTTTTTTTAAGAAGGAAACTTTAAATAAAAGTAAAGCTGTTCTACTTTTCCTGTAAAGTTGCTTAATTCCATGAGCCTCAGTGGTCTCAGAATTGTGGATTATTTTATACTGTTGAACTAACTTTATGTTTCATGACAAATATTTTCAAATCATGGATTATAAAAAACTGTCAGCATAGTAGAACTGTAACTATATAATTATAGTAGAACTGTAACTATATAATTATAGTAGAACTGTAACTATATAATTATAGTAGAAATGTAACTATATAATTATTGTAGAACTGTAACTATATAATTATAGTAGAAATGTAACTATATAATTATAGTAGAAATGTAACTATATAATTATTGTAGAACTGTAACTATATAATTATAGTAGAAATGTAACTATATAATTATAGTAGAAATGTAACTATATAATTATTGTAGAACTGTAACTATATAATTATAGCAGAAATGTAACTATATAATTATAGTAGAAATATAATTATAGTAGAAATGTAACTATATAATTATAGTAGAAATGTAACTATATAATTATAGTAGAAATGTAACTATATAATTATAGTAGAACTGTAACTATATAATTATAGTAGAACTGTAACTATATAATTATAATAGAACTGTAACTATATAATTATAGTAGAACTGTAACTATATAATTATAGTAGAACTGTAACTATATAATTATAGTAGAAATGTAACTATATAATTATAGTAGAAATATAATTATAGTAGAACTGTAACTATATAATTATAGTAGAAATGTAACTATATAATTATAATAGAACTGTAACTATATAATTATAGTAGAACTGTAACTATATAATTATAGTAGAAATGTAACTATATAATTATAATAGAGTAGATAATATAATTATAGTAGAACTGTAACTATATAATTATAGTAGAAATGTAACTACATAATTATAATAAATATATAATATAATTATAGTAGAACTGTAACTATATAATTATAGTAGAAATGTAACTACATAATTATAATAGAACTGTAACTATATAATTATAGTAGAACTGTAACTATATAATTATAGTAGAAATGTAACTATATAATTATAGTAGAAATGTAACTATATAATTATAGTAGAAATGTTACTATATAATTATAGTAGAACTGTAACTATATAATTATAGTAGAAATATAACTATATAATTATTGTAGAACTGTAACTATATAATTATAGTAGAACTGTAACTATATAATTATAGTAGAAAAGTAACTATATAATTATAGTAGAAATGTAACTATATAATTATAGTAGAACTAAATTTATATAAAGGTGTTGCTAGAAAATGATATTTATAATCATAGATGAGTTTTTTTCCGGAAATTCCCATAATTCCGGAAATTCACTTAAAACATCTTTAATTTTTCCAGTATATTCCGGATGTTTTTTGATATTAATTTGAAAAAAAGTTAATATATTTTTACATAAAATTTTACACACGACAACTTTTGCTTTTAAACAAATATGTTTTCTATAATTAAAATTTTCACAAGATCAATTTTCGTAACAATTTTTTTTCTTTTTTTTTTTTTTTTGCTTTTTAATTCATTCAAAATTTTTCGAATATTAGAAATCTCTTTTTGTAAAAAGTTAAATAATCTAAATTCCGTTTGTCAGTTAAATGCGATCTATTTTTAATAAAATAGTTTTCCGGGATTTTTTGGGATTATCATAGAAAAAAATTTCTGGGATTTTCATAAAGTCAAATACTAATCTATGTATAATAGAAATAATTTTATAATCAAATAATATCTTTGAAATCACATTTTTATAGTCACCAGTAAACAGTGAGGCAAAATACAATGACTCAGGGTCAAATCAAATAGGTCTTTTACCTGATGGAAAACAAAGAAAAAAGTTTGTAAGTATTAATATTTTAGATTTTTTAAATGTAATTTTGTAAATATAGCTTAATTTGTTTTTGAAATTAGCATTTTTAATAAAATGAGTTTCTGAAATGAACATTTTTAATGAAAGTGAAAACATTACCAGATAATTAAGTATAACAATTGAACCAGGGTGTCAGGTGTCATTTTGACATATTATATGTTTTAGGTGATGAAGTTTATTAAAAGTAATAGTCTTCTTTAAGTTAAAAAAATGCAAAGAGTCAATACATAGGAAGGTCATTTATTCAATTGTTGAAAACTCAAGTTGATTTGAAAGATAAGATTAAACTTGAGAAGAAGGACATTTTTTAGAACTCAAACTAGACATGTTAGAGAATATATTAATGAATCTTTTCTTGAGTTAAATAAAATAGATATGCTTGCTGAGGTAAATTTCAATCTTTCATGCAATTTGGTTAATGCTCTCAAACCAATAAGATTAACTGAAGGATTTCTTATTAGACAATAAGATTAACTGAAGGATTTCTTATTAGACAATAAGATTAACTGAAGGATTTCTTATTAGACAATAAGATTAACTGAAGGATTTCTTATTAGACAATAAGATTAACTGAAGGATTTCTTATTAGACAATAAGATTAACTGAAGGATTTCTTATTAGACAATAAGGTTAGCTGTAGAATCTCTTATTAGAGAATAAGATTATTGTAGGATCTCTTAGCAGACAAGCTTTTTTGTCATCAGCAGATGCAATAATCAAGTTTATGATGATTAAAGTTTGTAATGCTGATAAAGCTTAAAAAAAAGAATTGCTGAACGTGCAAATAAGAATTAAAGAATTTACTTTTATTAAATGATTCATTGCATATTTCATCAAACATGAATTATATTTGGCAAATGAAATAATGCAAAGGATTTTTTCCAATAATTTTTCGGAAACAGAAAATAACAGTAAAATTGTTTCTGTTGAAGGAAAAGAAATGACTATTAAAAAAGAACTGGTAAAAGTTATACAAAACTTAGTATCACGAAAATTGCAAATCAGGGATAACTAATTCCATATTAAGAATATAAAACAAGAATTTACATTATTTGCATAAATATACCTTTATGCACTAAAAATTAAGTTCAAAAGATTTTGTTTTTAGTTGTAAAATGTGTTACATTCGAATGAAACAGATTTCTACAAAATCATTCACTTTCTTTTTAATATTTATTAAGTTTTTTCTTCTTAAAGCAAGTTAATTAAAACTTATGTTTAAAAAGATTGGGTATAGGGATTTGGTTTACGATTTAAAAGATTGGGTATTGGGATTTGGTTGACTAAAATAAGATTGTTGATGTTGGTTTTGCCTTTTTATGAAAATTTTTTAGACATTAAAGTTAGAAAATAAATTTTGATGAGTAAAATAAATAATTAAAATATATTCAACAGAAGATGTTGCCTGGCAACTGGCAATTTTTTAACTGCTTCAAAATCAGCTAAAAACTCATGGCTCTACTGACATCCTGGTTATTTATAGATATAACTTTTTTCACAAGAAATATTTTTTTTATTTCTATTTCTTTAGAATATAAACAAGTTACCAAAAACTCAGATAAAGGGTCTTTATTCTCTGTTGTTGTTTTTTCAAGGAAAAGAAATGACATTTGAAGGTGGTAACTTTTTCTTTTTTCACTTTTTATTTTATATTTTTATATTTTATGATTTTTTTTTATAACAATAAAGTTATCAAATCTAAAAAGTCAAAAATTTTGATGCTTTTAAATTATAACTTTTATTTATTATAAGTTTTGATATATATCTAACATAAACTCTAGTTGATATACAAAAGCCCCCACAGATGGCCTAAGATCAAAGTGACATCGTCAGTGATGTTGCATGAACATCTAATTTTGTATTCATATTTATATAGTTTTGAATGTTTTAGTTACAATTAGTGCTATGCATGATGACTCCTATCTTTCTTCGATGAACTGGCCATTATTACCGGTTTGTTGTGTTTCTTATAAATTTGTATTGAAATCAAAAGTTATCATTTGTACTAAGTTTAGGAAATTATAAATCAAATAAGTTAATATTATTAGGATTTATTTTAATGGGTCATATCTTACAATTTCAGTTTTCACATAACTGAGCAACTTTAAAAAACTTGAAAATAAATTTAACTTTAGACTCTAGAAGACTTATGAAAGTTTTGTATTAAAAAAATGTGCTTTTTATTCATTAAGTTATATTTTATCTTTTTTTTTATTTATAACTTAGTTTTATGGTGCAATGTCGTTAATGTATTTAACATTTGCAATTGCTTGGTTTATTGCTTCATGCTGCAATTGGAGAGATTTACTACGTGTACAGGTCTTTACTTATTATCTTTTATCAATGTTTATTAAAGATGTTGCTACAATAAGTTATGCTAAATCAATGTATCAGTGAATCTTCTTGATGCTTGAGTATCATTTGCAATAATTTTGATTCTTCTATGGTTTTTTTTTTTTTTTTTTGATAAATAAAAATATGGAGGTAGGAGATATAAAGGAGATATAAATTTGGATATACAAAGGTAGGAGATACAGTTAATCACTTCAAACTATTGAACAGCTGAAGTTTTTTTCTCTATTATATTTAATGTGAGCATAATAAAAAGAGGTTCTCCCAAATTGGTAGTTTATTCTGAGGAATCAATGAAATTCTTAATTATATGGTTGCATCAGCAAATAATTCCACTTTTTGTTAATGACAAATAAGGTTAGCTTAAAATTATATATAACTAAGCATCATTGTTTGTAAATATATTTTTTTTGTTATTTTTAGTTTTGGATTGGAGCTGTTGTTGCCATAGGTATTTTTTTTAACTTTATTATTTTTGTTTATTTGTTTATTATTTTTATAATAATTTATTATAGTGAAACAAAAATTTTTAGTTTTTAAACGTTTTTAAAAGTTGATGTATATATTATGGTTTTGAAAATGATTAATTGGATGGTTAAGCGCCAAACCTGCTTATACAATGAATATGTTGAAGCGAGATAATTAGACGCAAAGTTTAAAAGTCTTTAACAAAAGGCACTAAACCAAAAAAATTAAAAGTATTTGCAGTTAAGTTCACTTAAAAATTTTAATCATAGTATATTGTTGTTAGCAAAAAAACACTACATAGATCTTTTTTAACATAAACTTGTTTTTTTCAACTTTGTTGTATAGGCAGGTTTGGCGCTTAACCATCCAATTGATAAAATAAATTAAACACTTAATTTAATTTTTAAATTAAGTGTTTAATTTATTCTATCAATTCTTAACTTAAATTAATTGGTTTTAATAAATTTTTTTTTTATAAAATTTTTTGGTGTTTGAGATAATTGACTTTCAGATATAAAGCATAAACATCTCATCTGTCAAACAAACAGATTTGTTTGACAAACTTTTTGTAAGTTCATTTTTGTTTTGCCAAAAAATCTTGATAATTATAATTCTAGTTATATGTCCCTTTTTGCCCTGAGTTATGTTCCCAAATGGTTTTTATAATTTCTTTTTCATAAATCAAGTTAAAGTATTTCAAATTTATTTGCTTATTTAATTGATGGATATCACATTTCATCAAAAAGGCAATTATGTTTGATGAAATATTGTTATGTATAAAATTTAAAATAGTTTTAACCTTGTACAAGTTTTTTTATGTTAAAGCTTTTAAATATTACAAATGTTCTTAATATTAAGGAATGCTGGAAAATGCTTTGTTTTATACTGAGTACAGGAATATAAGCACTTATGGAGAAAGTAAGTTTGAAGCTTTGAGCTGTTTTAATTTTTTTTTTTATTAAGTTTTTTATTTAAAAAGCCATGAAATTAAATTTTTTTATTTTAATGATTCTTAGCAAATGGCTTGCTTTACTTTGCGGAATTTGTATCTTGTATTAAAAGGACCTTAGCAAGAATTCTTGTCATCATTGTTAGCCTTGGCTTTGGAATAGTCAAGTATGTTCAATATTTTGTGGAATTATATATTATAATATATTGTAATAATAAAAATAATAATAATATTATTAGTAATATATATATATATATATATGTATATATATATATATATATATATATATATATATATATATATATATATATATATATATATATATATATATATATATATATATGTATATATATATATATATATATACACACACACATAAATATTTATTTAATTGTTTGAAGATATTTAGTTGAATTTTTTTAGACCTCGCCTCGGTCAAATGTTTAATCGTGTACTTATTATTGGTTTTTTGTACATGGTTTTATCAACGGTTGAAGCATTTATTCGAGTTCATGATGATGTAATATTTTTAGTTGTTTTTTGATTTTTTGTTTTTTGCTTTTGCTTTTTCTTCTTGAAAATAGTATGAGTTAAAGTTTCTAAATCATTTTTTAATTCATCTTTCAAATCATTTTTGAATCATTTTTTAAATCATCTTTTGAATGATCCCAAATCCAAAAAAATTATCTCTGTGTTCTCTTTTGTTATCAAGAATCTAAAAATGTTATTTGCACTTTGTTAAAAATGCTAAAAAAATGGACCTTATTATATTCACTTTCTTTAAATTTTGTTGTCAAGTTTCATTTATGATAATATAGCAATAAAAAAATTTTTTTTGTATTTTTTTAGAGCAAAGTAGTTTCCAAAACTCAAATGTATGCTTTGATTCCGCTTACTATAATAGATGTCATTATTTGTTGGTGGGTGTTTACTTCTCTTGTGCAAACAACAAGAACATTAAGAATAAGAAAAAACACGGTCAAGTTGACTTTGTATCGCCACTTTACTAACACCCTCATTTTTGCAGTTTTAGGTAATTAACAGCATATGGTTAATTGTTTTTAATTACTAAATCTCACAAAGGATCTTTTAAAAACATTTTACTTTTAATTATAATAAATAAATTAATTATGATAAATAATAAAAATTATGACTAATTGTTATAAATGTTTTATAATCATTCATAACTAAATAAAGATAGATTTTAATAAATCTTTATATATATATATATATATATATATATATATATATATATATATATATATATATATATATATATATATATAATTTTAGTTTATGCAAAGCCGAGGAGGCTATAGTGGCCTATAACTCTGAAACAACCCTATAACTCTGAAACCTTAACAAACAAGGCTGCTGCGCGGAGAAACAAGTTGAGGGCGGTACTATCAGGGATGTGGTGGGGATTGAACTTGGAACTGCTCGCTTAGGAGGCAAGCGCCACTACCGCAAGTATATCAAGTATAATATATATATATATATATATATATATATATATATATATATATATATATATATATATATATTCCTGTGATATTCTATAATAAAAGTAACTAATCTTTTGATGATGTAATCATATTAAAGTTTGGTTAACTGTCACTCCATCAAAAATGATAAATTCTTGAAAGATTTCATGAGGAGATATGCTTATCAATATAAAATTTTTTTTCTCAAATTTTTTTTTTCGTGCTTTTAATTAGCATTTTTAACACATTTTTTTGGTTCGTTTGAGTAAAGTTTGAGAATTAAAATATTATATATTTTTATGTAAAATTACAGTTTTATGTTTTCTAAATTTGCTACAAATTCTTCCGCACTTCAGTTGCAACTGAACTTTGTTCATTGTTTAAAGCTAAAAATTGTTTATCAGTGAGATCGGTGCGAACTGTTTATCAGGAAATTAGGAATTTATTTTTTCTTTAAATAACAAGTGTTGGTTTTGTTTTTTGATGCAGTTTTTTTCAATTTTTATTGCTAAAGTTCTAAACATCAAGAGACAATTGATTTTCCTAGCAATTCTTGGTTTTCTGCAAGATTCTTTGTTTTTTCATTTTGTCACATATGATTGGATAGTTTTTTTTTAGTGATGAGAGGTAACAAAAAAATGATTTCCTTAATTTTAGAGTTAGGATGAAAATTTTCGAATCAAAGTAATAATTTTGCCATAACTTAGTTATTGTAACTTTCTGTCTTCTGCAAAGGAGAAAAGTAACAACTATTTTAAATAAAACAAAAAAATTTAAGGTTGTTAATTATAGTAAGTGACCAGGACCCTGTCCCCGGCCCTGACTAAAAAGAAGAATTTTTGTAAATCTGGCCCCTAAGAAAATTATAAGATTTAGCACGGATTGATTGCCAGGGCTAGAAAAAAATTTATAACTTTTTATATATTACAATTTTATACTTACATTTACTATTTATACTGGCATATTTATATATTTTTAAACTCTAATTTATTTCCAACAAGGTTGCAAGCAACCATTATAAAGTTATGAGTTAATTTAAAATATAGGATAGGGTTAAAAAGCCAGGAAACGGTTAACTGACTGAAGACTTAAAAAGTTGTAGGTTGTATAAAAAAAGAAAACATGAAGATGGGGAAGACCAGGGATGCGAAGTCCCAAAAAGACTCCGGCTTTATAGCTTTATTTTTTTAAGGTCCCTGGTGTCCAGAAGCTCTAAACATGTTGGTTGATTAATGATCTGCTATAAGAAAAAAATTTATGATATTTAAATGCAAGCCTTCCCAGGAAAGGCGTGCGGTTTTTCGTCTTATATGACCACGCGTGAGTATTTTATTTTAGACAACTTGGACATGGCTGTTTGCAAGTTTTTATATATGTGTTGCTGACAAAAGTTTTAAAAACAAAATAAATAGGAATTTAAAATAAACTTAAATAGAAAATAATAATAACAATAATTTAAATAACTTGTGTACTGTTTTAATTTTGTTTAAGTCAAAGCACTTGATAAAAAATAAAGCATTATGAAAAACCTCACTAATAATCCGTATAAAGGCGCGTTAAATTAAAATCAACCAATAAATATTTTTATTGGTTGATTTGAAAATGAACGCGCATTTTTACGTATTTAAGTAACGTATTTAAAGAGATCCCTAACTGCCGAGACAAGTTGTGTTCATATTAAAGAAAATATTTAAAAAAAACATTTGTGCTAAATTTTTTTGATTAAAACTGTATAATGAATGCACACCGTTAAATTTAAAATTCACGTTTTAGTCGAAGCTCGCTGTCTCCATTTTTTTTTGGTTCTTGGAGTCTGTATAATGTTAGCCGCAATCTGCAGACTTGATAATTTATTCCATGCGTGTTTATTTCATAACAGTTTTAGTATATGACGTCATCGTAGAAATTTTTTCTTTCAAAAAGTCGTATTATTTTTTTGTCAAAATTACCAAATCATGTTAGTTGTATAACTTTTTACTAAATCCCCAAAAAAGTTTATGATGCAATTAAAAATTAAATTTATAAAATTTATAAAAATAAAAATTTAATAAAAAACGAATATTTACAGTAAAATGTACTGATTTAAACTGAAAAAACACGAGTGACTTGAATAAAACATATAAACTGAACTAAGTAGAAAATAAATATTAAACGACTTATTTTACTAATAACCATTCAAATCAAACTAAATTAAAGTTAAAATAAATGTTTGTACTAAAATATACAAGAAATAGTTATAATATAAATATAAAAACAAAGAATTGCATTAAATTGTTTGCTACCAGCCAAACAAAAATCTTTTTGTAGCAACCGCACATTTTTTTGAATTACATTTGAATAGCATAACATTGACAATTAATTAAAATTCGATAATAATAAAGTTTTTAACACGCATCATTAAACAACAAGAAATGCAAAGTGCTTAAAATTCTTGTTTTTTGTAAGTAGTAATTAAAACATTAAATCTAAAACAAACCTCATTTAATGAATAAAAATAATATTTTTTCTTCAAAATACTTTGGTAATTACTTAACTAAATACTTCAAACACTTCTACAAGTTAATTGTTTATGCTGTTTTACTTTATAACTAAATTTAAAGTTTTTTTTATGAAGGATTATTCAAGGTTTTTTAACTTTTTTTATAATTACACAATATAGCTCTTATTTTTTCTTGATTATGTAGAGAATTAATTAAACCTTTAGAACAATGTGTCAAGAATGGAAATTTATGTACAAAACAAGATAAATTGTAAAGCATACTTGAAAGCCGCTACAAGCGACTTGCGGTAGTGAAAGAGTTAAACCATAACTAAATGTAAATTAAACATAAAACGAACAACTCTATTGAACCATATGAACTAAATATAAAATGAAAAAAATTGTCTTTATTTTTTCTCTGCCTGAGAACTCTAATAATCACAAAATATGTTTTAAAAAAATTGTGTCATGATTTTGGCTGGCTTCTACTACAATGTAATAATAAAACAAGTAAAAAAAAAAAATTATATATATATATTAGGGTGGGTCATAAAATTTTTTTTTTTTAAAGTTACTAACCTGGTTATGGTCTAGAAAGTTGTTTGTTTATGTACTAGTTTAGGAAAGTATTTACTTTTATGGATTGAACATTGTCTTCCACCCGCAACTTTAATTACAAAAATTAGCAGATCCTATTATTATTCAAAAAAAAAGGTTTTCAAAATTATGTGATCTTGGTACTTAAAGCGAAATTTTATAGAAATTTCAAAAATAATAATTTCTTGATATAAAAATTATTATTTCAGATTCTATTGCATAATAACTATGGTTTTTTAACTAAAAGTGAAAAAAGTGCATTTTTTTTATGTTTTTTAATGACAATTTTTTTGGGCAATATGATTTTTATAAAACAATTATTATTATCGAATTTTTTATAAAATTTTGCTTCTTTTGACTACTAGGTTGACCTACTTTAGAAAAACTTTTTTTCTCCAAAATACTAGGGTACCGGTAATTTTCCAATAAATAGCCCTTTAAATCTATCACAATCATTCTCATATTTGATAGTATCACTATTAATAACTGATTGCAATGTTTAAAGCCTGTAACAAGAAAAAAAAAATTTATGACCTACCCTAATATATATATATATATATATATATATATATATATATATATATATATATATATATATATATATATATAAATATACATATATACATATATATATATATATATATATATATATATATATATATATATATATATATATATATATATATATATATATATATATAAACAATTTAAAATGTATTCTACAAAAAGAGTGCTCAATGTTCTTAAAAGAACAGAGCAATTACAAATTAGTAGAAAATCACTTAGCAAAATTTTTTCTCATTTAACACTGTGTTTCATCAATAAAGACTCATCAGAAGTAAATGATCAAATTAATAAAACTTCAATTTATACAAAAATTAAATTACAGGAAGTCACATGTCTACTGCAATTTTTCACACATTTGTGTAATCTGCTGACACTATTGTATTTTTTTCAAAGGGGAGTTAATGTAACTTTTATTTGAGCTCACTTATTTTTATAGTTTTTTAGGAGAAACTTATTTTCATGCCTGCATTTAGAAATCAATTCCGATTTTTTGTTTAATAAACATTCTTGGTTTGTATGTGTAATTATTTCAAATTTTTCTTGTAGACATAGTATGCATTTTTTGGAAATATTGTTATATGCAGGCACTGTTTTAAGGATGGACCAATTCAGTGTAAAATCATCAATATTTTTATCTTTTAATTCCCATATATATTTTGACAGCATGGTGTCTTTTGAATACTTTTTATTTTTAAAAGATTGCTTAAGATTGGCAAAACGTTTTTTCCATTCACCTTCTGTTATGCCAATATATTGTTTATCAGGTACATTCTTAGAGGCGACAACACATTTATATACCACATTTTTTGATAAGCAACTTTCACTCATTGGACAATTGTTTTTTTGTAGAAAAAAGGGAGAATTGCAACCTTACAATAATGGGAGAGCGTAAGAGGGTTATTATTTGTCATTATAAGAATGTCAACGATGTTGCAATAGTTTTTTGCAGTAAATAAATGACTTTGTCACTTCAGATGTAAAATCTCCATAAAGATTGTTATTGTAGATAAGAAACAATACAGGAGCAAAGATCCTTGATCCAAAAATCCAGAACCGTCTTGCCTCAAGCCTCATTCTACTCCACATTTGTCACCATCTTGAGCAACTGCTCAAGATGGTGACAAATGTGGAGTAAAATGAGGCTTGACTTTAAATTGAAGAGAAGTAATAAAAGTTTCCAAACTTTTATTCCAGAATGAGTAAAAACTTCCTAGATGCACTTGATGCATACATATTATGGATGTAAGCATATATGTTTGCTATTTATTTAGATGTTGGCATACAATATCCTTTCATTCTTATATAAACTTTAGTATTTATATGGTGTAGTATTTGCCGAATGAGAAGATGATCAGGTGGATGTGTGTTGTGAATCTAGCAAGACAAGAAAAGGAGGCATAATCTTAGACAGATTAGAAAAAAACATTGTATTGAACAGCATTTGTTAGAAAAGTTTAAATTGAATTAGGTATCAGTATGTAGAGAGGTAGCAGCTTCAGGAGAATATGAATATGGTAGAAGTAAGAAAACTTGAAGAGATCGCCTTACATATTTTATGAATAAGCTTTAGTTAAGGAAAGAAAATGCTCTAGATTGTTTATATTAGAGAAACAGCATAAAAAGGAAGGTTAAAGCCTGATGATGATGATCATCATCATCATCATGATTACGATGATCGTGTTGGTCATAATGATGTTTATGTATGCATATATATATATATATATATATATATATATATATATATATATATATATATATATATAATATATATATATATATACAAAATATAACATGAATTTTGAATAAAAAAAACAACTTTGAAATTTATAAATGTTTATGCAGCCCAGTCACAAACTTGGTTCTGGCTTCAGTAAAATTTTAACCCTGGTCGCTTACTAGTTATTTACAAATTCAATAAAGATTAAAGATATTTTTATTTTTATTTTTACATTTTTTAAAGTCTAACAAAATATAATTCTTTATTAATTTTGTGATTTTGTTGTAGCTTCTCTTGCTTATATGGTTTGGATGATTAAACAAGCAAAGCTCACTGAATGTGTTGTAAGTTTAATTTATTCAATTTTTAATAATGTGAAAAACATTTTTAATGTTTTTTCTACATTACAATTTATTACTGTACTTTCATTGATTATTTTTTTGATTGTTTTTTAATTACTTTTTATTTTTTAAGTTTTATTTTTGGTTTGTTTTTGGAGGTTTATTGTTTATCAAATACAATCTGGAAAGTAGATCCCATTATTTTTTGTTATATGGTTTCCATTTAACATAAACATAAATTTTAGGATATTGGGAGTATTTGGCTTAGTGAGGCTTTATGGCCATTTCTTTTTGGCGTAATACTAGCTGTTATAATGGTATTGTGGCGACCGAGTATAAATAATCAACGATATGCATTCACACCATTAGACCTTGATGGTAGTGATGATGAAGACAATGACATGACATTATCAGATGCATTTTGTAAGTTTTGTCAAAATGTTTTTAAAAGTTTTTTTGTTTTGTCTTTTGCGTTTCTTATACTTTTTGTAGAGATATTTTGGACAGGTGTGGCTCCTTAGTTGTGGTAAAAGCAACATAAAAACATAAATATAAAAAAAGCAACATAACAATATTAAAAAAACAAAAAAAAAAAAAACATGCTTATTAGAAATAAAACTTTGATATAAAACCCCTAATTTATTGTGGGTAAGTGACGGAAGATCTTATAAATATTGGGTTAAGAATATTAAACGGTAATCAAAATAGTGGTTTTATCAATGTCAAATGTAAATAAGGAAATAAACCTGTCTGAATCATACAAATGTGGAGCCACAGATGTTAAATCAAGAAAAAAAAAAAGATTTTAACACTATATATGTATATATATTAATAAACTTTCATTTAAGTAATGTGAAATCTTTTTTCTCAGCTGGTATGAAGAACAGAAGTAAAGACACTAGTGGTGTAAAAAATAGAAATCGTGCAGTAAGTTCGTTTTACTTTTTAATCAACTATTGTAAGGCTTATTTGAATATATTCCAATGATTATATTGTTGATATGCATTCCTATGACTTTTGGTTTTGGCTATGTTTTATGGCACCACAAATGATTATATTTAGATATGAAAAATGACTATAGGTTTTATTTATATTTCAATTATAACAAAGAATGTTAAATATTTTTATTTAACTTTAAAGTGTTTAAAGGGTAGTAAATGATCAATAAAAGTGTTTAAAGGGTAGTAAATCATCATTGAAAGGCGATATCAATCATAGGAAAAAATTTATGATAAAACATTATGTATCATAAATTTATACATACATTATTTATCATAAATATATGCATACATTATGCATCATAAATTTATGCATACATTTACTATTTGATAAATACTGGCATATAATATGAATGTATATGTATATAAACATATATGTTTGCTATTTATTTAGATGCTTGCATACAAAATCCTTATATATTTATACAAACTTTAGTAGGGTAGAGTCACAGAAATTAGAGTGTCTAAGGATAAATATTTTTTAACCAAAGTTGGTTTAACTGTGAAAACATACTTACTATACTTTTAACTGTAGTTTGACTTGATTGCACTTTTTTAAAGCCACCATTTTGTTTCCAATCAACACAACCGGTATCCTAAATTGGAGTACTTTGATTCCTTTGAAACTTTCCTTTGGAGTACTTTGATTCCATTGAAACAGCTTGTTTCTTTTAAAAAAATACCTTTTAAAATTAACAGAAATCAAAAATTGCATCTCTACAGTAATAATTTAAGCGATTCATTCAAAACTTATAATAGGATTAAAATTGGTCCTAAAAAATGAAGTTTTAGAAATAATAAATTTTACAAAAGCATCAACTAATATGACTTCAACTAATATGACATGTATGACTAATATGACATCAACTAATATGACTAATATGAAATAATTGTTTTATTAATTACAAGTTACTAAATAAATTATCACTAAATTGCTTTTGACATTTATGATTGTTGATAGTTTATGGTTGCTGATGTATGTTTATTTATTTGAGGTTTATAATTTTTATTTTTAGTTAAAAAAGTTTAAATTGCATTTTCAAAGTAGGATAGCTTTTTCAAAGTATAAATTTACCTACTATCATGATATCAAGCCTTCCCAGGAAAATTTTAGTTCTTTAAAATTTTAGTTCATGCAAAGCTGTGTTCTTTGTTTATAAGGAGCAAATTATTAAAAGTTTGTTAGTGAGAAAGTTACAAAAAACAAAACAAAAACAATAAACTTACGGCTACAAAAGTAATAACATAATAAAAAGTAATAACACTTGAGTCACTAACTGCATTATAAAAGTAATAAAACTATAATAGTGTTATTACATTTACAAAGCACTTATTACTTTTAAAGTTCATTCTTTGTTCAAACAACATTATTAATTCCAAACATTTAATAAAGTAGAAAAGCATATAGAAAAAATAAAGCGGATATTCAAATATGATTAAAAATTTCAGGAACTTTCACATATTACTTAACACGTTGACCGCATCGTGTATCCATATGTATACACGCGTAAACTCTCGTTTCTTCAAGTCGTGTATCCATATGGATACACGATTTTGATAGTAAATTTATTTTTGTTAATTTTAAGTATTCTAATTTTTACTTGTTTCCAATTGTTTCTTTATATTTATCAATTCTTAAAATTTAATGGCGTTTAAATAGATAGCGTTTTAAGAAAAAAAACTTCGTTCAAATTATAAAAAACACTGTGGTAAAAGATAACTTTATTTGAAAAAAATAAAACAGAAAATAACATTAGAATTAAAAAAAACCGTTATAACAAAAAAATAAAATCAACATAATCAATAAAATCAACATTTAGTATGACATTTTTGAAAACAAGCTAAACAAAAAGGTTTTAAACAATTATCACATCTTGTCTTAATTTGACTAGCACGATTCCTGGCAATTGTGGCACCAAATTCTTTTGATAATTTGTTGTAGCATTCAGTACAACGTCGTTTTCGAATAGTTCCTTCTCCTGGTTCTTTTTCAAGTTGATGTTTTCGTCCAGAAAATGTTGGCTTTTCCAGTTGCAAAATTGATGAGACAATATCTCTTTTGAATTGTACAATTTTGATATTTTTTCCGCTATGTAATTTATAAAGATGCAGAGCATTAACAATGGAAACTTGAGTAATTATATGAAAAAAGATTCTGAGGTACCATTTCATTGTTTTACGTACGTATGGACAATAAGAGCCCAATTGGTCAGATAGATCGTTAAACGATTTCCCTTTATTGTAATCTACGATAACAGCAGGTTTTCCTCTCTCCGTAATGCTACCATCGTGAATAGATGAAAGCATTATAACTTCTCTTTTATCTTTCCATTTTAAAATCATAATACCATCACCATTTTGTTCTGCAACATAATCACCTTTCTTCAATTTCAGAGAAGTTACGTGTTTTGGAAATCCAATTCTATTTTTTCTGGCCGTCCCAACTAAGTTTGTCTTGTTTTCCAATAAAGATTTCGCCAAATTCATACTTGTATACCAGTTATCTGTATACAGAATTCTGCCATGTCCAAGAAGGTTTTCCATTAGTTTTAAAACTACACGTTCTGCCACAGAACCATATCTTGGCTGGTCCTCTTTACCGGCATAAATTGATAAATTATAAGTGTATCCGTTGTTGCTACACAATTTAAAGATTTTGATGCCATATTTATGCCTTTTACTAGGAATATACATACGAAATCGAAGTCTGCCGCGAAAGGGTATCATGCTTTCGTCAATGCATATATCTCTGCCTGGAACCAGTAAGTGTTGACATCTGGCAATGAACAAGTTGACAAATTTTTCTATTTTATATAATTTTGATCCATTATTGTTGTCATTGTCAGCGAAGTGGAGGGATCTCATCAAAGAATAAAATCTTTTCCTTGTCATTACACCTCCACATATTGCTTTACCGCCAATAGCAGGGTCAGAGGACCAATAATCATCGAGTTTAGGCAGAACAACATATCCCATTTGCAAAATGATAGCCATAAATTTTCGCATTTCCATATTATTTGTCGGCAAATAGTTTGAATCCTTTGTTGGTCCATAACGATTAGTTTCTTCCACAATAAAATCGATAAGTTCGTTGTTCATAAATAAGTTATAGTAATCGACAGGTTCTTTGCAATCCATTACCATATCCATATTCATGCCCGCAGTTCCGTCATCAAAATCCCATCTTAAAGGTTTCTGCACATTTTTCGACCATTCTTCTGAACCATCATCACTACCACCATCAGTTGATTCACTATCAGCACTATCGGATTCATCAGATTCGTCCTGTTGAATTGTTTCCATTAAATCAGAATCATGTTCGTCATCACTTTGTAACAGCAACCTTTCAAAGCTATCGTTTAATTCAATATTATCATCAGCCATTCTAATAAATAAGAAAAATTAATAGCTAGAAAATAATAAAAATTTACGATTGTATCAAAAAATTAGTAATATCAATCAAGTATTTGAGGAAAAAAGTTGAAAACTGTTAAGTTTCGACAGTCAAGTTTTCTTTCAGTCGATCACAATTATTTATTCAACAATATTTAAAGTCCATACAATTGCTGAACTGGTGTTTAGCAGAAAACGCTAGGTTTATATACCCGTTTATCGGCGTGCTGGAAGGTTCTGGAACATTTTGGAAATATATATTTTTAAATATTTAAAAGTTAAATAGTTTAGGTTTTGAGAAAGTTATTGTTCGAATGTTCAAACAAAAACTAAAAATTATTAAAAAAAAAAAACTCCTCTTTGACTTATTTGTGTATACATATGTATACACGAAATATTCAAAAAAAAAAAGATTATTTGGCAATGTGATTTTTTCAAAAAAAGGCAAGGCGGTCAACGTGTTAAACGACGTTATAAAAAGTACTTTATAAAAAGTATAGCTTTATGAAAAAGATTACGTAAAAAAGCGTGTTAATTTTAAAATCAACCAATAAAAAAATTTTATTGGTTTTAAAATTAACGCGCATTTTTAGGTTCCATTAGTAATGTTTTTCATAATGCTAAACTTTTAATACGATACGTTTTCATGAAGTTGTTTGTCACGTTTATATATAATTTACTTTAGTTTTAATATTATTTGAACAACCACTTTATTCTTCTAGATATTTTTCTTCTTCAATTAAAATTTGGGAATACTAATGTAGCTTGAACAAAGAATGAATTTTAAGTTATAAGTGCATTATAAAAGTAATAACACTATTATAGTGTTATTACTTTTGTAATGCAGTTAGTGGTTAGAGTGTTATTACTTTTGTAATCGTAAATTTATTGTGTTATTTTTTATTTTTTTGCTAACAAATTTAAGTTGATTCTCCCCTTAAAAACAAAGAACACGGTTTTGTATAAACTAAAATTTTGAATACTAGATATTTTTCCAGATTTTGCGTTTTGCATTCGCTTAATTCAACCCTTGTTGTTACATTAAAATTATACAAATAAATTTTATAAACACATTGCAATTTGTATTTTTGCTATCCTTTAAAAAAAAAAATTTAGCAAAGGAAAATCATTCTTTTTATTGTAGACTTCAAACTGTTTTTTTTTATCTTCGCCTTATCTAATTTTGTTGCTGAATGTAACTCTAAAGAAACAAAAATAAAAACAGTACACAAATTATTTAAATTATTAATTTGTTTTTATTTTTTTTTATTTCAATCTCTTTTTATTTTGTTAGTTTTGCTTTTTTTTGTTTTGAATCTTTTTCAGCATTATTATAAAATGTGCAAACTCCCGTGTTCACGTTTTCTAAAATAATATAATCGCGAGTGGTCATACAAGACAAAAAACCGCACACCTTTCCTGGAAGGCTTGTGATATGGTCACACTTACCGCAATTAAAGCTGTTATTTTATTGAAACAACAGCTTTTATTGTGTGAACCCCATGGCCTACTTACTACTTAATACACAGCCGGAAT